GGCATACTTTAACTTCATGCTGGTACGCCAACAGAACGAGAAAACCCAAAAATAAAATTAGGCAAGCTCAATCTGACAATATTGTCGATAGGAATTTAAGAAAATATGTAACTGTGGATATTTTCAATAAGTCCTCTAAATTCAAGCTTGACTCGGGTTCCGATCTTTCAACCATTAACTGGCGTACTTGGCGAAAATTAAACAAGCCGACCTTATTAAAAACGGATAAAACAGAAAAATCCGTAACTGGCGAAAAGATTAACATTTTAGGTGAGTTAATACTTACAGTAACACTAAATGGAGTTACTAAAAAGCTCAAAGCCTACGTATTGAAAACTTCAGTTAAATTATTTGGAACAGATTGGATAGAAAAATTCAATCTTTGGGATTGCCCAATGAGTACATTTTGTCGCAAGATACAAAGTACAACGTCCAATTTGGTAAATCTAAAAAAGGAACTCAAACAACAATTTCCCCAGGTTTTTTTTCTGGCGGCATTGGGAAATGTACTAAAATGAAAGCTAAGTTCAAGGTGAAGGACGGTGCACAACCGGTATTCAAAAAGAAACGGAATGTCAATTTCGCTGCTCTAGAGCAAATCACCAAAGAGTTAGATAGACTCGAACAAGCAGGTATTCTGTCAAAAACAGATTTCAGCGAGTGGGCAGCACCTACGGTCTACGTAAAAAAGAAGTCCAATCAAATACGATTATGCACAGATTTTTCCACAGGGTTAAACGATGCCCTGCAAGATCTCCAAGAAATTTTCAATAAACTCAATGGTGGAAATTTTTTTTCTAAAATCGACCTCTCGGATGCATACCTTCAAATAGAGGTGGAAGAAGAAATTTCCAAATTGCTCTGCATAAACACCCATAGAGGGTTGTACAAATACAATAGACTGGCTTTTGGAGTAAAGGTTGCGCCTGCAATTTTCCAACAGGTCATGGACGCCATGCTGGGCGACCTTGACTACGCAACAGCCTATTTGTATGATATACTGGTTACCAGTAAAACTAGGGCAGAGCACCGGAACCATATAATAAACGTATTCGAAAAGATACAAGAATACGGATTTAAGGTTAAGGAGGAAAAGTGTGACTTTTTCTTACCAGAGATTAAATACTTAGGTCACATTATAAATAAAGATGGTCGTCGGCCGGATCCAGAAAGAGCCAACGCGATCAGAAACATGCCGGCCCCAGATAACGTTCAAGTGTTACAAAGCTTCCTCGGCCTAGCTAACTTTTACCAAGGGTTCATTAAGAACATGCAAATTTTGAGAGGGCCTCTCAGCCAACTCTTAAAAAAGGATAAACCATGGTCATGGACCCCGGAATGCCAAGACGCATTCGAGAAGATCAAGAAAACTCTTACTTCAGACCTCTCCCTCACCCATTACGACCCTAGTCTCGACATCATAGTCCCAAGTAATACAAGCTCGTACGGCATTGGTGCTTGCAGTTTACATAAACTGCCAGATGGTTCGCGAAAAACTGTGGCTCACGCATCAAGATCTCTAGTTCGATCTCGACATGCCCCAAGTCTCACCTGAAGTGCGACGCTCAGGAGGAAAAAAGGAAATTTACTCAACCGCTCGACGTAAAACCCAAGAGGAAAAAGTATTAACAGTTTTTTTTTTTCTCTCCTTTCAAAAAAAGAAAACTCTTTGGAAGAGGGGTATTGTGAGACCGGAAACTACCTACACAATAGACTCTTCCAGGCCTATATTAAGTAGGTGACATAGCACTCTCAGAGAGTGTCAGCGAGCGACATTTTTGACTTATTTCTGACTGTTTCTCTCTCCCCTTTTTTTTTTTTTCAGTGAGACTGTTTTTTGCAGCTGTAAATTGTTTGGACGAACTTTTTCTGAAAAATCCGGACCATTTTATCTGATAAGTTATTGTTTTATTTTCATTCTTTTAATTTTTTCTATTTCTTTTTTGTTTGTTTTGTATTTGGGCCTTAGCTCACATTTTTTTTTTTTTTTTAGTCCGGTAAGACTTTGTCAAACCGGACGACTGCTTTTTATTTTTATTTATTTAAAAAAGACCAGTTTAGGAAAAAAAAAAAAAAAAAAAAAGTTTTTTGTTTATTTCTTTTTTATTTTTTTAGCGACTTCAGTCGCCTTCTTTCTTTTTTTTTTTGACTAGTTTATTTTTTCTTT